GGCTGGTGCTGCATTAATTCAGCATGTTCTTACTCTCCATCTGAGCTTTCAAAATTCCCATGGAACTCACATCGAGGGACCCTCAGCTTGTTTCTCCCCCCAAACCCTTTCATTTCTGACTTTAAAACCTACTTCTTTGACCATGCCTATGCCCATGCCCCAATCATTCTCATCAATGGTCAAGATGTTTCATGGTGGAGCCAATTTCTACAGCATCTTTAATCACATAATAAATCATTGTATTTGATATGGCATCTCATTACGTCATCAAAATAGTTCCATCAAACGGATTTTATCGCAAAGACTGTGCAATTGAATATAGCAGATTTACTAGGAACCTTACAGCCCTCTGGCCTCAATATTGATTTCAACAATTTCAGACCATAACAGCTCACCTTCCCCCTACCCTTTTTTTGTGACCATTACCACATCATCTTGGTCCCAGACACACCTTTTCTCTCTCTGGTCTGCCTATTTTGTTGCAATTTCCCCCATCCATTTTGTTCTGCATTATTAAAATTTCTTTCCCGTTTTGTTGCAACCCCCTTTGTTTTGCATCATTAACACCTCTTTAACCCATCTTCCCTTGTCCTCTACCTCATTTTCTCCTTTGTCTTCCTTGCCCTGCCTCCCCCATCTCTGTTAGCCCTTAAAAGCCTCTCCCTCCCAAACATGCCCCAGTTCTGATGAAGGGTCGTAGACCCGAAATGTTGAATCACTTTCCTTTCTCCATAGATGCTGCCTGACCTGCTGAGTGTTCCCAGCGACTTTTGTTTCTGTTTCTACTTTGCAGTATAATAATAATAATCCTTGCATTTGATATAGCGCTTTTCACGTCGGGAGGATGTCCCAAAGCGCTTCACAGAACACACTGTAAAGTGAATTGACTGTATATTTGTGGGCGAACGCGGCAGCCAATTGCACACAGCAATGTCCCACAAACAGTCGTAGATTGAAAATGACCAATTTATTATTGTTTTTGGTTTCGGAGGGATTATTATTAGGTGTGTGGAGTAAGGAAACTTGCCCAAGGTTTCGCCCTCTGCCTGGAATTGAACTCAGGTCTCTCGATTGCAAAGCGAGTGCTCTAATCACTGAGCTACAGGACTCCACGAAAAAAAGGGATTATTACCTCCGGAAAGCGATCTGCCAATCGCGTCCTACTTACTGCTAGGTAAACAGAGACGGTGGAGTAAGGAAACTTGCATAAGATTTTGCCCTGCCTCGGAATCAAACTCAGATCCTTTCGCTTGTGAGGCGAGTGTGATAACCACTAACCGTGGTTTAGTGGTTACAGCAATGGCCATATTTCTTTGGAAGTATGGTCAGAAGTTCAATTTTATGATCATTTGCAAGATACTGCAGTTCATTCTAAAGATACATAGCTCCCTGTAGAACATTAATACGTTTTAAACAGAACATAACCAAAGGTAAATCGTTCACCTCAAGAACCTGACATTTCTGTTACATTATAATAAGTCAACAAAATTGTGTTAATTACCGTATCCACTATTACCACTAAACCACGGTTAGTGGTTATCACACTCGCCTCACAAGCGAAAGGATCTGAGTTTGATTCACTGTCAATCACTGTCTGTGATTCACGGAGATTCACATGTTGGGGGAAAAAACATCAATTGAGCTCCTAGGGCTACACTCTACTGTTTCCAATATTATTTTGGCGACAAGACACTGCTCGTGACCGAAAGCGAAAGAAATCTATCACTGGGTTCGAGATAGTTTCATGATGGCTGCATCATTGCATTAAAATACTTTATGGATTGTATGATTGATGCTGGGCTTACTGCAGACCTGATAATTTATCATAAGAATACAGAGAGATTGACAGAAAGGCTTGAGGTCACAATGCAGGGCAGAGTGGGATTTCCAGCTGCCTTCGCTTTATGATATGTATCTTGAACTGGAGCGAAGGTAGGAATCGAGTGAAAGATCCCCTGCAGCTGGGTTGAGTTTCCCTCTGGAAGGGCATCAAAATCACTTCCGCTGCACACACAGCAGGGATCAGGTTTGGCAGGAGCTGGGTAGTTAGGAAGGCAAAATATTATTTTTCACAGCAACAGAGGAGCCTACCAGTGGATCCAATAGAGTTCTTTAACATTTGGAAAGATTTTGAGAAGAATAAACAGTGAGAGCTCACTCAGTGAATCGGCAACACGTTTAAGGATTGTCACTGGAAAGGGTTAAGGGAGAGGCGAACAAAAAATGGTGTTTCTGCAGAGGGTGATTACAACAACAATATAATAATAATCATAAACATAATAATCATAATAATAACAATAATTTGTGTTTGTTTCACGTAGAAAAATAAATGTCTTGTAGAGTTTTATAAAATGGCAATTGACTCGAAATGTAAGTGAATGTTGTTCTATAAGCAAAAGCATGACCACAGCTACTTCAAATAAACAGAAGGGTCATGTTACAAGTTGTGACTGTAGCTAACACTATGTAAAAATATTTTTTTAAAAAGTAATTGGGTGAATATTTGACGAGAAAAACAAGAACAACATCTGCGAAGTGCTTTGGGACATCCTCCCGACGTGAAAAGCGCTATATCAAATGCAAGGATTATTATTATTATTATTATAATTTGCACTTTTATAGCACCCTTCTTGTAGGATGATGTCTTCAATATTTGTTGACGGGAATCAGTTTGTAGCCTGAAATTACCACTGCAAAGATCTAAACATTGAAAACAATTTCAAGAGCAGCAGGAGCTGCCTCGTCAAGATCAATCCGTTCTAAATAACCTTTATCACACTTTTGTTTCATATTTGTTTTTAATTTGAGCATTGACATAAGCAAATTTTAGATTAATTCAGCAATTAATTCTGATAGTTTTGCCATGTCAGAATAATATAATAATATTATTATAAGTGATAGTCTCAGGAACCATCTCTTGAACAAAAATAATCATAATAATTCTTACTTTTGTTACAGCGCCTTTCAAGTCAGAAGGATGTCTCAAAGTGTTTCACAGGATATACTGCAAAGTGGAGTGACTGTATTTTGTAATGATAATAATAATTCTTGCATTTGATATAGCGCCTTATCACGTCTTTGACACATCTCAAAGTGTGTTTTTTGTCGGATTGTGTACAGTCTTTTGATTGTACACAATCTTTAGTAGGCGAACAACTAACTTTTTATAACAAAACACAGACTAAAATGGACAAAAGAAAACAAATCTGAATTCCTGGTTTGGCTTTTCAAAGGACTTCAGTCGAGACTATCTCTTCAAATCATGGTACTTTTACAACAGCCTGCATTGATTATACCTCGCTCCAGAATGCTTGACTATCTTTAATACATATTGTTTGAAAATAAAGTTTCATGAACCATAAGCAGAAGCTATATTCCTGATGGGAATGGGGTGGATTTCCAGGAAACTGCAAAACCGCATATCCATCAAATAACAATATAATTCTACCCTTTGTGCTCCTGAACATGGGAATGGCAGTGTAGCTAAATGTTGCCTCTGGAACAAACACATTCCCTGTCATTCATTCATTTGATGTGTCTAATTTCAGCGTAGGTGTAAGTTTCATGGAAATAAAAATTGCCTTTCAAAACACACGTTGCTTTTTTATTCTTAAACAACCCCCACCCATCCACCCGCGTGATGATGGGTGACCTTAGCCTTTCTTTAATGTGAATGATTTACGTTAACTGCTGATGTTTGATTTGCGCCTGGAAACATTGCTTTTGATTGCCAAGTGTTCAGTAACAATGCCACTGGCCCCGGGCACAGAATCCCTCTACCCCTGTCAAATCCCTCCTAAAAAAAAACTACCTCTTTGACCGCACCTATAGTCACCCCTCCTCTTTTCCCTTTTTTACAGCATCCGATCCCATCACTGAGATGGGCTCCGAGACATTATCTCACGTGAAGGGCGCTATATAACGCAAACTGGTTAATTTGCAAAATCAAACTAAAAATCTGATTAAAGGAGAGGACAGGAGTTTGCTTTGTGTGAAACACGGATAAGAAAAAACACCTTGCAAATAGCCACAAAATAAGGCTGATAATGTTTATTTTGCAATGACTGCTGCAAAGGTTTTAATTGCTTTATGTGATTCCTGGGCATCTCCAAATGACTAAGGAAACAGGAAATATATGAAGTAAGATGTTCAATGTAGCAATTCAGAAATATCTGCGTCAAAAACAGTCGTAAAAACAAAAACGTAAATGGCAGACTGGCTGCAAAATAGCCATTAACAATGTTGCAAAAAATATATAATTGTAAAGGAAGCAAAACAGAGTCTTTTTTGAAAAACTCACTAAAATTCTTGCATTCTCATTTTCTTATGTTTTCGTTTGCAATAGCTGCTTAAGTTATAAGTTTGACAAATTCCCTTTAGAGTGAATAAGTGACCCAGCAGTGAGCAGCTGGACTGAAATGTTTCACTAGCATCTAATAAGGTTTCATTCATAACTGCCTGCTTCCAAAGTACTGTACATACAACTGAATCTAACTCAGGTCCAAAGAGAGAGAGGAATGCTAATATGTTGAATCGGTACAAACACCCTTTTGTAAGTGCCATAAAAACGTGGGTTTAGCTCAAAATGCTAAGAAAGCACAAGGCTTTCCTCCCCTACTGAAGGGGGGAGATGTGTCAAAGACGTGATAAGGCGCTATATCAAATGCAAGGATTACTATTATTATTACCCCCTCTGAGATGAAGTACTGCACTTAGACAACATGGGCAAAATATTCCCATGAAAAAGATAAGACATAGAATGACCTCAATTTATGCAGAATTCACTAACAATAATCATTCTTGCATTTGATTTAACGCCTTATCACATTATTAAACTGTCTCAAAGCACTTCACAGAATATACTGTAAAGTGGATTGGAGTGTATTTTGTGGGCGAAATGCAAATAGTTATGGGCAACACTGAATAGTTAAGGGTTGAAAGGGGATGGAGCCCCGGTTCAGATGTGAAGGAAGCTAGATCTATTGACAGGTTGCACTTACCAAGGGGGAGAGCAAGGAAAAATGGGAACCAGCAAAGGACAAACATGCCAACTACGATGCCGAGAGTCTTGGCGGCTTTCTTCTCTCTGGAGAACTTGAGGAGGCGCACGGACAACGAGCTTCTGATATGGTTCCCTTTGGACTTGGACACTCCAAGAGAGTCCTCCTGAATGTTCCTGCAGTGGATACGCAGGGTTAACTCGCTGGAATCTGATCTCTCCCTCATGATCCCAGCCTCCAGGTTCCTTGTGGTCCTCTTGGCCACTATGTAAACTCTGCAGTACATGACCAGGATGACAGCCAGGGGAATGTAGAAGGAGCCCAGGGAGGAGAAGAGAGCGTAGCCTGGGTCTTCAGTGATTTGGCAGTCTCTTTCATCCGGTGGTGCTGGCTGTTTCCAACCCAAGAGAGGTCCTATGGAGATGACAATGGATAGGACCCAGACTCCCACCACCACCAACACTGCTTTCTTCTCGGTGACGATGGAGGGGTAGCGAAGGGAGTAGCGCACACCGATGTAGCGGTCTATGGAGATGGCACACAGGCTCATGATGGAAGCTGTGCAACACAGCACGTCCACAGCTGCCCAGATGTCGCAAAATATCCTCCCAAAGGTCCAGTAGCCCAGGATCTCCAGTGTGGCAGAAAAGGGCAGAACTGTGGTGCTCAGGAGGAGATCAGCGATGGCCAGGTTGATGATGAAGTAGTTGGTGGTGGTCTGCAAGTGCCGGTTGAAAGCCACCGACAGAATGACCAAGATGTTGCCTACCAGAGCGAACAGGAAGAAGAGTCCCAACACCAGCCCCAATGTGGCTGCTCGGCCGGGGTCCAGTGCTGGAGATGAGGTCCTATTTTGGAAAGTCCCGTTTGAGATGTTGCCAGTCAGGTTCCCATTGAACAAGACAGAATAATAGGAGAGGTTCTGGATCAAGCCCGGATCTCCATCATATTGCCCCGGATCCATACCGGCTCTCATTCCTCATAGCAGCTCAAAGCAATCTCCATCTCAGCGCCAGAGAGCAAGTGAGAAGCTTTAGAAAGCGGGACTCCCCCCACCAATCCTCTCTCCCCTTCTTGCCAAGAGTTGACCAAGGTTTTTTTTCCTCTCTCTCTTCCCCCAGTTAGTAACACACTCAAGCTCTAATCACTGAAGCCTCCAGTTGCTCTGCACAAGCGATCTCCAGGACTGAAGAGTTTTAAAAGACTGAAGAGTAAAAAGTTACAGATGCTCAGATCAGAAGTGATTCACTCCTCTTCCTCCCTGGTGTCTGGTTGTTCTGCTCTAGTTCTGGTTGAACACAGTAACTCCCTGAAGCTGCAATCGTCTTGATGGTTGAGTTCTGTCTGACTGGTGCTCTCTCTCTCTATATATATATACACATGTGATTCACATACAAGATCTTCAGCAATACAAAAAAGGAGCATTTAAAGCTGACTGGATCTCTCTCTCTCTGAGACTGTGAGAGCCTGAGAGCCACAGGGTATCCCAGCCTGGGGTGGGGGTGAGTGAGTGTGTGTTTGGGGAGGGGGCAATGAATTAAAGAGCCTCCCAACTCAGCTCAGCTCAGCCCCTCACACACTAATGTAACAAGTCTTAAAGGGACATCGCCCCTCACTGAGGTTAAGGTAAGACCACACTCGCTTTTTTAGGGACAAAACACCGTATTTCGATGTTTGATTTCCTCGACAGTTTTTTTTTCACATTTCAATATCAAATTTCCTAAAAAAAAGCACTTTTAAGGAAATAGTGGTATGGGATTGCAAATAACTGGTTTGTTCAGATAGCTATTATTATTATAATATTATTATTATATTATTATTATAATATTATTATAATATTATTATTATTGCTAGAAACAGATCTGAAAGCAGATTTGACTTGGGAGCTTTTATTTTTTAAGAAAATAGAAGAAAATTACTTACAAACAATCGACTGTGAAAAAATGCAAACCGAGATGTTTCACAAAGGGGAATGGACCCAGACTTGAGCTGTGTGCAGGACTGAAACTTTTCCTCTCTGGTTTTTCGTTGCAATTTAATGTGTTAAAATTAACCCAAAAGGAATTGATGTTTTCTCTCCCCCACAACACACACACACACACACACACACCTGCGCTGTTTCTTTTAAGTCGGTTGTTTTCTCTCTCTCTGACTCTCTCTCTTGTGTTAAAAACATTTGCTTGGCACCAAAATGCAGTCCATACAGAGGGTCTGTGTGTGTATCAGGCGATCAGATAGAGACTGAAACAGCTGACAAACAGCAACAGCAGAGAGTAACTGCACAACACGACCTCTCCTCAGCAGAACTGCAGAGATAAACTGGGGAGATGCAGGTGGTGACTGCCAAAGACATCAAAACGATGAATATTAATTGAGAAATGACTCATATTAAATGTGATTAATATTAAGCAATGATTGATGCATTACTGCCCAATTGGGATTGATTTCAAACCGGTTGGAGAATCCTGACCTGTCTCTGTTTGCAATAATAATAGTAATATTCCTTGCATTTCATATATAATATGTATATGTGTATATTTATAGCAACGACCTGTTGCAGCAATAACAGCTATAAAAATAGCCCCGGAAAACTGGTTTGAATTCATTCAAAAAATTCTCCTGTTGTAAGTTAGGGCTTGAAAAAGAGGTGGTGTTCAGCAGCATTGCCTCCATGGCATTAGACGGCGCTCTTATAGCACTAACAGGACTCAAACTCTCAGACAGGGGAACAATTCTTACAAAACTGCTGCCTTCTTTTGCTTTGCAAACAGCCTCTTTTTTTTTCAGTTCTCCAACCACTTCTTACCACAAGTCACTGTCAGAAAGCAGCCTTTGCAATATGTGATTTATTAAAGAAGAAAGGAAAAAATACAGCAAAATGCCACTGATAATAATAATAATAATCATCCTTGCATTTAATAACTGCACTCTGGGGATTGGTGTTGAGCAGGTGAATTGAAGAGGGATGAAGAGCAGGGATAATAAGAGGGAGATGGAGTTCCTGAGTGGAAAGAGACACAGGGAAAAGAAGCTGGGTTATTATCATAGCCATTTACTAGGCACATTGACCCTCTATCCATGCCGGCCCCTTCCTCTATACTCAGCTCCTATGTTAAATCCCTTTGCCTCACCACCCGCCCCGCCCCCCCACCTCCTTACTGCCAAGGCCTGTCTCAACACCCACCTCTTCAACCCCATCTTTGGTCACCCTCCTACCATCACCCACCCTCCCTGCCTTCAACCCTCCTAATCCTAACTCCCACCTCGGGTGCAAATCATTGACTGTCCAGCAGCTTGGGATATCCTCCTGACATGAAAGTTGTTGTATGTTCCCCGGGCGACCTGTCTCTACATTAGCACATCGTTAGCAAACGGTGTTCAACAAATTTCAAGGCTGTTCAAGCTTATTACTGTGTAAGGAGTCACATTATTACACAGTAACTGGGAATTCTGTCTCATGCTGTAATAGCTCAGAAACACAATACCAAACCCGCCTCTTCAGAGAGATGTTGAAGATCCCAAGGCCCTATTTTGAAAAGAGAAGGGAGCTTCTCTCTCCTGGTGTCCTGGCTGACAAACCCCCAGATAAAAAAAAGTCACTCAATCCAAGTTTATTTGAGTGACCAAGTTTATTTTATATATTTTTAGGGAAGGAGTTATTATCCCTGGAAATTGATCCCCCAATTAACTAACAACTGGGTTCCTGTTTACTGCTAGGTAAACACAAGCGTGTAGCGTAAGGAAACTTGCCTAATACTACTACTACTACTGTTAATAATAATAATAATAATAATAATGCTTGCATTTGATATAGCACCTTATCATGTCTTCGAGACATCTCAAAGCTCTTCACAGAATAAACTGTAAAGTGAACTGTCGGCGAAACACAGCAGTCAATTGTGCACAGCAGTGTCCCACAAACAGCCGTGAATTGCGTGACCAAATTATAATTTTTACATTTTTTTAAAGGAATATTATCTTTGGAAAAGAGATCTGCCAATCGACTAACAACTAGCTTCCTACTTCTGCTAGGTAAACAGGTGTGTGGAGTAAGGAAACTTGCCTAAGGTTTTACCCTGTTCAGGAATCGAACCCAGGTCCTCTCGCTTGCGAGGCGAGTGCTAAGCTACAGGACTCCACATTAAGGTTTAAATTGGTTTAAATCCTCAATGGGTGCTTCACATCCAGAAGCCTGGAATTTCATGATGATTGCCTTTTCTTTGAAAAAATAAGCATCTGCCTCACTTTGTACTGCACAAATCAACTGTAGCTCACTTATGCTCCAATCTAAGTATATTACAGCAGAGATTACATGGGATAAAATGAAACAATCTTTGAAACATATGATTGAGGCTTTAAAAGCTATATTTCACACCCTGGCACTTTGTAATTACTCTCAATGTTGATGGAGCGGAAAATAAACATAGGAAGCAGCATCCACCTGTGGTTAAGATTGTCTACTTAATGCAACAGGACGAATTTAGAAAGCTATAGAGTTGGAATTCTCCTTTCCGCAGTTTCAAATGCTGGTAATGAAAGTCTTTTTGAAGTAGGTGTAATAACTTGATGCCAGTGATAAGCAATTGTTGCATTACCAGTTGGCGGAGACTTCTGACTGGCTCTTTATGTGTTGCCTGCGATGTTGGGCACAGCTGGAGTTCCACAGATTCTGGAACATGCTGTTTGGTTCTTGTTCTCATTTTCACCCTGAAAAATACATCGCTTCTTTTACAAAATGATAAGGGTCCTAAAAAAAAGGCCTTTCACGGCAGTGATAATTGTGAAATGTATGCAAAAATATCTACCAAATACACCTATATTATCCAGCAAAATGCATCATATAAAGTTCACCTATATTATGTCTGCAAAAAGAAAAAAAAATCGGTAATTCAATGCACAACTGTTTGTGGGACACTGCTGTGCGCAATTGGCTGTCGTGTTTTGCCCACAAAATATAAATAACAACAACAACAACATGATTCCATTTATAGAGCGCCTTTCACGTCAGGTGGACGTCCCAAGGAGCTGTACAGTTGGGTCAGGACCCGAGCAGGGGGGAGATGGTCAGGGTGAGGGGAGGGAAGGGAGGGAGCGAGGAGGGGGTAGAGAGTCGAGAGGGGAGCTGAAGGCTCGGTCAAAGAGAAAGGTCTTGGGACTGGCCTTGAAGGAGGAAAGGGAGGAAGTGGCGAAGGCACTGGGGATGGAGTTCCAGAGCCTCGGGGCTGAAGGCCCGGCCACCGATGGTAGGGCGGTTGGGGCGGGGGATGTGGAGCAGACCGGAGCCAGAGGAACAGAGGGTACGGGTGGGTAGGTAGGGGGATAATAGGTCGGAGAGGTAGGAGGGAGCGAGGCCGTGAATGGCCTTGTAGGTGAGGATGAGGATCTTGAAATTGATCCCCTGGGGGATGGGGAGCCAGTGGAGGCGAGCGAGGGTGGGGGTGATGTGGTCCCGAAGCCTGGTGCGGGACAGTACACGAGCTGCAGAGTTCTGAGGGGATGTGGAGCAGACAATAAATAACAACAAAATTACATTTTTATAGCGCCTTTCCCGTCGGGAGAATGTCCCAAGGCGCTGGAATATAAGCAGTCAATCCACTTTACGATATGTTCTGTGAAGTGCTTTGAGATGTCTCAACGATGAGATAAGGTGCTAATCAAATACAAGGATTATTATGTCTTGTATTTGCATTTATTTGCATTGCTGTCTGTTACATGAAACTTTAATGAATGAAACACTGTATTGATAATTTTTTTCCTTCCGGGACTGCTTTTTCCCCAATTTTGTGGTAGTCAGGATTTAAACTGGATTTGTAGGAATTGCTAATGCTGGACTAATAATAATAATGATCCTCGCATTTGATATAGCACCTTATCACATCGCTGAGATGTCTCAAAGTGATTTACAGCATATATTGTAAATTGTAAGCAATAGTACAAAGATGAAGTTCCTCACCCCCGCAACATTGGAGTCCTGTAGCTCAGCGGTTAGAGCACTCACCTCGCAAGCGAGAGACCTGGGTTTGATATCTGGCAGGGCGAAACCTTGGACAAGTTTCCTTACTCCACATGCCTGATAATAATCCCTCAAAAAAACCCAATAATAATTTGGTCACTCAATCCATGGCTGTTTGTAGGACACCTCTGTGCGCAATTGGCTGCCGTGTTTCACCCGCAAACGTACAGTCAATTCACTTTACAGTATATTTTGTGAAGCGCTTTGAGATGTTTAGAAGACGTGAAAAGCACTATATCAAAATGCAAGGATCATTATATTATTATTACTCAGCTCCGCCACTATCTCTCACTGTGGGCTGCTGAGACCCTTATCCATGTGTTCAATATATCCAGGCTCGACTATGCAAACTCCCTGCTTGTCGGCCTGCCCAACTCCTCCCTCCGCAGACTGCAGATCATCCAGAACTCTACAGCCCGTGTCCTCTCCCGCACCAGGCTTCGCGACCCTATCACCCCTATCTTTGCCCAACTCCA